TCCATCGCTGGTGTAGCACTTTAACTGAGCAGTAGAATGAATATGACAATGTTGTACAGTTTGGTTACATCATATATATATATATATATAAGGGATGTCATGCAATGGCAATAACGCTGATAATTATACATCTGTCACCATAAGTTACAGTGTGTCGTAATTTAGCCACTATTGCACGAGATACCTGCATCCAACCATATTAGAAAATGCGAATTCAAAATACAAAAAGTTACATATTTTTGTGGTGGTGGGCATTTTTATATTATAACGAGAATGTTCCAATAATTGTCACCATTTTGCTCAGTTCAATCGTAAATAGACTGATGATTCAATCTAGTTTTAAGGTACTGCATTAGCATTTCAGAATTAGCTAAGGCTGTATGTACACAGAGAAAAATGAAAGAAATTAATTTAAGTGCTACACTTTTTAAGCGTTGCGCTGATTGGCTACATGTCTTTGACCAATCAGCACACGGCTTATGCAACAGGGCTACATTAGTAATGCTTTGTAGTTACAGTGACACAATATGGCTGCACATGTGAAAATAGATCAGCCACACCTGCTGATTCAGTTTCATGAATTGATAAAAATACTACATTGATTAGTTTAACATACTGGTATATTTATAACACATTTTAATATATGCTTTAATTAACATTCTAGTTGAGAATATATAAACTTATTAACTAAATTCAAAATATTGAATTTGTTGATTTGGCATAGTATTTTATGTATTAAAATAGCATTTGAGGTGAATGTTGAGTACATTATATGTAGCAGAAATATTAATGATAAATCAGCTATAATAAACTATTTTTAATTAAGATATGTTATTTATCTAGGTAATACCTTTCGAACCATAGGGTGTACAGTAGACGAGTTTTGAGTTGTCGCGTCAGCAACTGGTTTCTGTGTGAGAATTTATTCGCTGGTTCCTGTTATGAGCTATCAAACATTTATGCCATAAAATCATCCCTTCTTCACAAATGAAATTAAAATGTTTATGAATCAAAGAATCAAACCAAAAAACTAAAATTACGCATTTATATTATTTCAGGACAAATGCAATAGTCAGATCAGTATTAAATGCCACTCTGAGGGCAATCATTTATCTATTTTTTAAATGATGAAATGTCCCAAAAAATTAATTCTATGCAATACTTGTGAACTGCCAGGTTTTTCATTTTTGGGGACTGCCAATTTTCAAATACTGAATAATCTGTTCTTTGCATTTTTCTTTCAATGTTATTGAAGTGAATAAAAAAAACAAAAAATTGAATAATTAAACTGTACCTTCACAATTGACATAGACATATGCATTGCTACCATAGTGCAAATATGGCAACTGTTTCTCTTTTTACACGAAATTAAAAAGTTTGGTGTAATTAATTATAAATAAACAACGTACCTGAGTGGCAGCCCGGGGAGTGTTTTGGGCAATACATGAAGAATCTATGTCTAAATTATTGGTCAAACAAGTCATTGTTAATGACTGTTGGAATTATCGAAAATGTTATTTGTGCCAAAAATAAAGTTACAAACCAAAAACAAGTTAGTAATTAAGAGTGAATAAACGACTGGTCACGTATCAACAGATATTAAATTACTCTCCCAAAATAGACCATTTTCCGTTCACTGTGAGAATCACGCGTTATGTGTGAAATCGAACGAAAAAACAGGACAAACAAAGGTCATAGCATCGTAGTCGCGTCAAACATCGCGTGGGATTCGACAAACGCGAAAGTATTACGGGGACATTTCCATGCTTAATAATGTGCTGTCCACATTTGATGATAGGCAATTTCAATTAAGTAAGGGTATTCGGAAGCAATATTCCTCTGTCGAAGATCGGCCGGTCAATGTAAGCTACGAAATAAAGAAATTCTCGTTCAAAATCAAATCGTTCGATTTTTGCGGCAGACGTTAGACGCGCGTCTTTCATGCATCTCGCGAGATCTCGCAATTGTACGGAAAATCACCTATTGAAATATATTGTCAGAAATTAGATGTACAGGTTGCTATTCATGCATTTTGTATCTTAAACTGAGATTCCTTTCCCTGGGCTCATGTACAGAGATATAGTAGTATGGTCAAAAGGCAAGATTGCAGGCAGACAACCATGATTGTGAAACTAATTATCAGGAAAAAACAAACATGTTAATGATACATTTGGTCATTTTGGATTCAAACACAAAACAAATCATGGACATGTACAATGTTTGTATCAAATTTGAACAAAAACTGACAAATGCTGTCCAAAAAACATAATTTCCTAAAAAAAAAAAAGATCTGCCATTTGATCTGATTATGGAAAAAACTGACATGAACATGTATTTATATATTTATGATGTATGTGCCAAATATGATTGAAAATGGTCCAAAAGCCTTGGAGATATAGTAGTATGGTCAAAAAGCAAGATGGCCACCAGTTGGCCATCTTTTATCTGATTGTGAAACAAATTGCCATGGACATGTAATCTAAAATGTACAATATATGTACCAAATTTGAACAAAAACTGACAAAGCATGCACAAGATACTACATTTTCAAAAAACAAAATGGCTGCCAGTCAGCCATCTTGGATTGAATTAGTAAACCACTGAATGTGTAAAAGTCTCAGATAAAGTACTAGGCACATGCAAAGAATGAACAGATTTGGTTCCGTGGTTCTGAAATACGACTCTGGATGGACAGATGGAAGGAGACCTTCGTTCAAACAGGAACTACGGTAATAACATGATTATATTGTACTAGAATATCATCTGGGACACAGAGTGGACAAGAATTAAACCCAATATATCAAAACACAATACAATAGGTAGCTCTTCTTGTATTGGTCTTTTTTTGTTGATAATATTTTAGTAATTTCTGATACATTTGGTGCTGTTAAAGTTATTTTGTTCATCGCAAATAAACATCTATAAAACCACACTCCTATCACTATTTTTGACTGGCTTTTACTATTTTGAGCATATTTTATGTGTTTTAAATGCACTGATTTGACATTGAAACACTGAATTCAATTTTACTTATCAGAGAAAAAAAATAAATTAAAACCTGGTTTTAATTTTCAGTATTTTCTCATATCCCACCAAGAAAACTATAAGGTAGGTATGACTAAATGTAACATTTTCATTTTTTACCCATTAAAATTATTTCTTCATATCTAAAAATTTTGCTTGATGACATGGGATTAAAAGTCTTGCTATTGATATGAATCCAAAATTTAATTTACTCAGTTTCCAGTGTGTACAATGGAAAGTTTTGCTGGAACATGACATACAACATACGTTAACTACAATGTTAAACACAGAACTCGCTTGCAGGTTTATAGTTGCACGTTTGCCTATTTAATCATTTGTGGCATTGGAAAATTGTAAAAAAAACAAACAAACAAGCAATGCATGGCAGTCCCTGTTAGTTTAAGATATATTATAGTTTTGTTTATAGTAATATAGTCGGACATAAACATGTCAGAAAACATATCTATTTTTTGTGGATGATTTTTTTTCTTACCAGATGATAGCTGTTGCTTTTTACCAGATTTCACTAGCTAGATTTTGATAGAAATTGTATTTGAGACTTAAAGCAAAATAGACAAGGCTTCACAATTTAATACAATTTTTAGGGTTTGTGCTGTTGCCCCTGTCTAAATACCTGCATATGAAACCATATACATACAACAAAACCATACTGTCTATTGTGATTGAGGCCCTCTATAGTTGAGATCAGTTTCTTTATTTCATATTCGTTTTTAAAGCAGTGGACGCTATAACAAAAGTCATAATTACTGATTGGTATGTTCAGTATGTATTAAAATTATTTACAGCTGTCTGATGTATTATGCAGCATTAAAATAGTCCCATGACTTAAAAGCCACTTACTGTGTGACATTGATATTTTTGGCAGGACAGCCACTATGGTTTTGGGTACCTAATGTGCCATTGTGTGCAAACAATTGTGGTTTTATTGTTTTTAAATATCTGTTCACTGTTGTATGGTCAAAATGGTTTCATGACAAGATTACCAATAATAACAGTATTTCAGGGTTTTGGCAAGAGCTATTACACATGTGACTTACTATATTGTTAAACATATGGTTTATTAAATAATTTTTAAATTAATTTTAGGCATCTTTTTTTATTTACAATGTATATAGTGCACTGAAAAGCTACCGTCATTCTGACAGAGGGTTAATCAGAATGACCCGAATTTCAGTTTCAATGGCAAGATTAATGTTTTGGAATCTGATAGGCCTTTCACAATTTACAGTGTTGACTGCATTGAACGTCATTTTTCCTGTCTACCAGAATTGATATATATATTATATACCCGGTAAAAGATGAAATTCTGTAATAAACGTCTGGATGCCAGTTATTTCAAAGTTATTTCTCTTTTATTTCAGTATAACACTGCCTTGAAAATTTACATAAAAACACCTTATATTTTGCAACAATGTGTATTCACCTATAACAAGCTTTCCATTCTAGATAAGTGTAACACGACTTGTATTGTGTTCACGTGTGCCAAATGCCGGTTTGGAGACCACAGCTTTATATTTAAACCGGCCGTATTAAACAAGATAAGCCAGTGCCGCGACGATTTAGTTTAAGACACCCTAAAATGACAAGTCTTGACCGACACCTTGTACAGTTTTATCGGGTGTAAACAATAACACCGCCTTAAAAGTACGCTCTAAATGTCAGCCTCGCTCTGGAGTTCCATTCATTGCAAGTATTTTAAAGGGCGACAGTCGTCGCGTTGCGTCCTGTTCGATATGGGACTCATAGTGACGTATACAACGCTTGTGAAAAACATTGTTTAATTACATGATGACCACCGCGCTTTAAAGAAACATGACGGCCGATATCAACACTGACTAATTAGCTATGCGTATGAACACAGAACCAATTAAAACCACTCATAATGATTGTTTACTACTGTAAGTGAAGCCAGTTCTGTGTCTCGCGGTAATATATCTGCTTGCCAACCTATTATTCAAAAATAGCAATATTAAATCACTGTGATTTGATACAGGATGAAAACATGCTTCAATCATAAAAAATAAGAACCTACAATCAACTATTGTTCTGTGATGATAGCGATGATTTTGATGTTGAGATGTACCTGGTGGTAGTGTCTCCAAACTTGTTCAAGTTTAATAATGCTGATGCGATGGACTCGTAATTAAATAAAGGTAGGGGTGGGATGGGGGTGGGTAAAAGATTCCAATACAAAACATTAATAAAAAAAGTCTGAGCTTTGTGTGAAGATTTGTTGAAGATTTTGAAAAGCAGTACAAAGTTTTTAAAAAGATACAAATACAACTCAGGATTTTCCATCTACTCATGTTGCTGATTTTAATGTCGGCAAAATTCAGAATCGTACGAATAGTGCTCCTCTAAATACACAATCTGAACACTGAATTTTATGTACTGTTCAGCACAGCTGGTCTGGTTTATAATGAAACTGCAATAAACATCATGATGTAGTTAGGATATCAAATTACAGCTGATGAAAAGTTTTGTTGTACTGAGTAGTGCTTGCAACTGTCAGTGCTGTCCTTGTTTTTGTTTTTGTTGCAGTGTTTCAGTTTCCCTTTCCAAGTCTAGTATGGCTCTTTCTATCTCATAGTTCTTGGTCACCAGTCCAACCCAACTATACATAAATAAAAACAAAAGATGTTAGAAACCAATAATCAGCCACTAGGTGGAGCTGTTTAGAACTGTAAAAGATGCACACATTGCAGTAAGTATATTTTTATGAATCATTTTCAGTGCAAGGCAGTGGATCAAACTAAAACATTCATTGCTAAAAAAATATTTAAAATATGAAGTACACGTAAAAACTAAAAAATGGCTTACTTGTTTTCCAGGTCTTTAATTTTTGAGCCTGCTCTTGTCTATCAGAAAAAACAAGAAAAGAAAAGGTGAAATTGATCAAGGAAGATCAGTATAAAACACCTATGATACTGGACAAATAAATATTTCTTATTGGCTACTCAATTCAGACATCCCTCTTATTGGCTACTCAATTCAGACTTTCCTCTTATTGGCTACTCAATTCAGACTTCCCTCTTATTGGCTACTCAATTCAGACTTCCCTCTTATTGGCTACTCAATTCAGACTTCCCTCGTATTGGCTACTCAATTCAGACTTCCCTCTTATTGGCTACTCAATTCAGACTTCCCTCTTATTGGCTACTCAATTCAGACTTCCCTCTTATTGGCTACTCAATTCAGACTTCCCTCTTATTGGCTACTCAATTCAGACTTCCCTCTTATTGGCTACTCAATTCAGACTTCCCTCTTAAATATAGATTCTAACCAATTAGAGGGGGCATTCGTCATGAAACATCTGGCAGTGACTGAGAAAAGTTTACCGGTAACAAAGCATTTTTTTCATGTACATTTGTAGATGCAAATTGTTCAGATGAAATTGGAATTCATAACATGTTCAAGTATTGCAGCAGCTAATAGACATTTACAGTTCATACAAATTCAATCACAGTGGTATCTGGCCTAAAAAATATTGCTTGGAAAACGAATATGAATGTAAAGACAGCCTACCTGGTTACTTTTGCGTTCCCAGTTTATTTCTTGAATTCGTTTTCTATTCATTGAAAGAATACAAACTACATGTCACAGAGGAATTAAATATATGGGTGGAATTATTCCCATCAATTTAAAAACAGACAGAAATGAAATTTTGTTCCCTTTATAGTGAAGACAGTGTGTTTATTATGTTTGAATTTTATTTATAAAATGTCAGTTGTATTTTTTTTACATTTTTGTCAGGCGATTTGTTCGAGAGTAAAAAACCTGGGACAAAAAAATAAACTATGAAGAAATTGTTTCATGTCTGGTGAGAACACTGCTCTATTATAAAGGAATTATTACAGGGGTCAGTGAGAAGTTTTCTACAAATCATACAAAGTAGGAATTATTACAGGGGTCAGTGAGAAGTTTTCTACAAATCATACAAAGTAGGAATTATTACAGGGGTCAGTGAGAAGTTTTCTACAAATCATACAAAGTAGGAATTATTACAGGGGTCAGTGAGAAGTTTTCTACAAATCATACAAAGTAGGAATTATTACAGGGTCAGTGAGAAGTTTTCTACAAATCATACAAAGTAGGAATTATTACAGGGGTCAGTGAGAAGTTTTCTACAGATCATACAAAGTAGGAATTATTACAGGGGTCAGTGAGAAGTTTTCTACAAATCATAGAAAGTGTGA